TACTCCCTTTACTTCACTGACTAGGGTTTAAGACTTTTATTAATCCACTTTTTGTCTGGAAACTTGTCAGTCACAATCATACACACATTAGGATGTAGTTACACTAGTGATTACACTATAAATACTTCACTTAATAGTCTAATACAGATAATTATTTTTAGCACCTTTCCCAAATGCTAATAATACCTTAGAACACTTTCTTTTTTTTCCATTTATTTTTATTAGTTGGAGGCTAATTNGTTTTTAATATGGAATTATTTTACTTTGGACTTAACAACTCACTCTAGTATTTTGTCTAATTTCAATGTTGTTCACAATGAAGTTTTTGACTCAAGTTTTGACAGACATCTTTACTTGGGGCAATGTTGATGCTGGGTATAAAACTCTAGTTGGATTTGATTCTTCTTAGCTTATTAAAAAATGGTGCTCACAGGACTTCCCTGGTGATCCATTGATTAAGACCCTGAGCTCCCAATGCAGGGGGCACAGGATTGAGCCCTGGTTGGGAAACCAAGATCCTGCATGCCTCTTGGCCCTATCCCCCCTGCCAAAAATGTATAAAAATAGTACTCTCTTGTTATCCATCTTATTTTGTTTTTCCTTAGACATCACCAGTTAGCCTTTTTCTTGCTTGTTTGGCCTCTGTATTCTCTAAAAGTGTATTACATTAACTTTGGCTTTTAGACAATATTTTAGCTCATTATTGTATCTTGTGTATATACAATATTTGACTCAGGATGTTGTTATTGCAACCACTGGGTGATGTCTTTTTAAACCATGCTTGTGTATTTTCACTTCTGATATCAATTTCTCCCCCACTTTCTCTCTACTTTCCTTTTCATCACATCTCATTTCTCTTCTAACTGTATTCTGAGTTTTCCAAGATTATTCCCCTTGGGTTCTATTGGGATATTTGCTCTTGAACTGTCTTGCTATTTAGTAATCTGGTCTGTGCTGAGATTAATATATTCTTAGCTACTTAAGTTCTTCATTTCAGCTCTAACATAAACAGTATGCAACTTAAAGTTTTGAAAGAAAACAGTTGCTCAATGAGGATAAAATGGATTCCATTTAGTACAATAAATCTCAAGTAGATAAAGGAAATTTGTAACTTAGATCATATTAAAATTTTAGGCATCTGTAGTCATCAAAATTCATCTGAAAACTTGAGCAGAGGAAGAGATTTGCATTACATATCTTAGTCAAGTACATCAAACTGAATACTGTAAATATAATAATCCTATCTGATGAAAAAAAATACTGAAAAAACACTGGAAAATGGGTCAAACTGTAGAATAGACATGCCATAAGAAAGTATAAGTTAATAGTTGGTATGAGTCTTCTCTTAGAACTGTCAGTCTTGTGAAATCTCAATGTAGATCAAGAGTAATGGATCAGATTTCAAATTTAACTTTTGACTTAACAAGGGTTGTAATCATAAGACACCAGTTTTCAAGGCTCAGAAAGAAGAAAAGGATATAATGTTTTCTGATGTGGATGACATTTTGAAATATTTCTTTTTGTTTCTTTAAGGACAAATATTATCGAAACCAGTATCCTCTTCCAATTTATTTTCTTTAGTATGCTTTCTACAAAAGTTAAAATTACTTAGGTTATATTGTTGCCAGGGAGCACATGAGATCCCACCCATGATAAGGTCAGGAGGAGAAAACCTGACAGGCAAGGCGGATCAGGTTTTCAGGGATTCCCCAGGCTCATTTTAAAGATGATGTCTGTTTTTCTAATGCTTGCTTCAATAGACTACTCCCTAATTCCTGTGACACAGGCAGAAGGCCTTCCCCATCTCTTTCCAAATAAGAATCAATTTAGAACTTTAATCAATAAGCTTCCTGGGTGGTGGTATCTTATGAGATTACCCAGGATGAAAGGAGTGTTTAAATTTAAACTCCTTTGCTGGCATTCTAGTTTGATTAGCAAATGCCTCTATGCCCTTGGTACTAATATGCATGACTGCTTATAATACCCTAATCATAGAACAGCATAAAGAACCTGATCATATAAAGGCCCCTAATAGACATAGAGCCCTTCGGGGAGTGAGGAAGGCCTATTAGAAAACACAAGAAAAAATTATTCTAAAAGTGGCTATTGGGTTAACCTTTGCTTGCTGTGTTTTTGCTCTTAATGTGCTATGGAAACCATTGTTAATATAGTTAAAGATCTAGAAAAATAAGAGCTTAGCCCTAGTGTGGTAACAATGAGATGGTTGTTAATTGTCAGCCAGGAGTGCTAGGCAGAGGCTGCCTCACTGAAGCTGCAGAGTCTGTNCTAATGAGTAATAAAAGCTGATGCTTATATGATACTTTTCATGTTTTAAGTGCTTTGTATCTGTTAACTCAATCATTCTTACTATAACTCCACGAGGTAGATATTATCATCTCCATTTTACAGAGAACTTTAAATAACTTGCCCAAGGTCACTCAGCTAATGAGTAACAGAGCTGGGACTCAGATCCAGTTGGTCTCGCCCCATGGTCTGTACATGTAAACGTTCTTTGTACACACACGCAAAGAAGGGGATCTGGAAGCACACAAACCAAACTGCTCACGTGAGTCCCCTCCAGGGAGGGGAATGTGGGGGAGCGGGAGGCGAGGAGGGTCACAGTTTGGATTGTGTGTGTGTGTGTGTGTGTGCGCGCGCACGTGCGTGTGTGTGTTAGATGCTCAGCTGTGTCCAACTCTATACGACCCCATGGACTATAGCCCGCCAAGCTCCTCTGTCCATGAAATTCTCCAGGCAATAATAATACTGGAATGGGTTGCCATTCCCTTCTCCAGGGGATTTTCCAAACCCAGGGATTGAATTCGGGTCTCCTGCATTGCAGGCAGATTCTTTACCTTCCGAGCTACCTGGGAAGCCCTTGCACCATATACTTCTGCTTCATTTTGAATGTTATATGATGAGAATGCATGTGTAATTTTTTAAAGGCGAAGCAAACAAAAACCCCAAACTAAGTGAGTATTTAGTTTTGACAGTCACATACTTAACTGTAAATAGTAACAGCAAATACATACAGCCTGAAACATTTTTAAACTGGAGAATTTTAAAAACAACGGTGGGCCTTTCCTTACTGTAAAGTAACTGTCTTAAGTAAGACAGCTAAAGAATTGTCATCAGAAAGTTCCCTTCCTCTGTGGAATTGTCTGGTTAAAGAGCAGCAGCACTAGGCCCTGGCTGTCTGGGTTTAGTGCTGGCTCCGGCACATACTATCCATGGGATTCTCTGGGCAAGAACACAACCACCACAGATATGCAGATGGTACCATTCTCACAGCAGAATGTGAAGAGGAACTGAAGACTCTCTTGATGAGGGTGAAAGAGGAGAGTGGAAGAACTGGCTTAAAACTAAGTACTAAAAAAACTAAGATCATGGCATCTGGTTCCATTACTTCAGGGCAAATAGAAGGGGAGAACGTGGAAGCAATGACAGACTTTCCTTTCTTGGGCTCCAGAATCACTGTGGACAGTGACTACAGCTGTGAAATCAAAAGATGCTTGTTCCTTGGAAGAAAAGCTATGACAAACCTAAACAGCGTATTAAAATGCAGAGACATCACTTTGCCAACAAAGGTCCATATAGTCAAAGCTATGATTTTTCCAGTATCATGTACGGATGTGAGAGCTGGATCATAAAGGTGGAGCACCAGAGAATTGATGCTTTTGAACTGTGGTGTTGGGAAGACTCTTGAGAGTCCCTTGGACTGCAAGGAGATCAAGTCACTCAATTCTAAAGGAAATCAACCTGACTATTCATTAGAAGGACTGATGCTGAAGTTTCAATACTCTGACCACCGGATTCGAACAGCCAACTCATTGGAAAAGATCCTCATGCTGGGAAAGACTGAAGGCAAAAGGAGAAGGGGATGACAGAGGATGAGATAGTTAGATGGCATCACCAACTCAACGGACATGAATTTAAGCAAACTCCAGGAGATAGTGGAGGACAGAGGAGCCTGGAGTGCTGCAGTCTGTGATGGCTCAAAGAGACACAACTTAGGGAATGAAAAACAACTGGCACACACTAGCTGGTGACCTTGGGCAAGTTACAGCACTATTCTGTGCCTTAGTTTTCTCATCCATAAAATGGGGATAAGACTATCTTGCTCATTACTTTTGTAAGGATTAAATAAATGAATACACATAACACTCTTCTAACTAAGCCTGGCATGTAGTAAAAGCTCAATAAACATTTAACCATTGTTATTATTATGCAAACACAGCAGACAATAAATACCAAGGACAATCCCTCCAGGTAGTAAAACATTTAAAAGATAATGGAAACACCACACCCAAATAGCAGCTTTGGGAAGTACGTTTTTAGAAAGAGGCTTTCACCCCTGGTAAATCAGTCATTTAAAAATATACTGACTCTAGGGGAAAAATAATAGCATTAAATGCTTATATTATAAATCAGGTGAATGTACTTAATATCACTGGAGCTGCACTCTGAAAATGGTTAAAATGGTAAATTTTATATTACATATATTTATCTACAATCAGAAAAACCACAAGAGAAGAAAAAGTAACCTAACCATGGGAATGAGGCCATCACCTTGATATATCACTTTGTATATTCCATTGGTTATAACAGGTCACAAGCTCCGTCCACACTCAAGGGCAGAGGAGACACCAGGGCTGTGGGCAGGACTGACACAGAAGCTCATCTCTGCAGAGACCTTCCCAGCTCAGGACCTTCTCCTTGACCATCCAGCCTTGCCCATTAGGTTTCCAACTGGCTTTCATCCTCCTTCCATCACACCACTTGACACTGGCTCATGCCTTTTCTGTACCCAAGAGTGCCCACCTCTGGCCCTTGACCTTCATCCTCATCCTTCTAGGTTCCACCCAAATGCCACCTGGCCCCTGGAAACCTTCCATGACCACCAGAAGACTGGAGTCTTGAATCAGCCTGGGTTTGCTCAGGCAAATCCCTTCTAAAAAAAAAATAATAATAATACACTGACCTGTAGAATTTCTCTTTTGTAATAATCCAGAACTTTCTGTTTGAGTCCACTATTGCACACAGATTGAAGGCAAACTAGTCTTAACACCTTGATCAGGGGATGTTTTTGGGCAATACAATCCTCAATGTAGCTGTTGACCTGAAAACAAAGTGTAGACAGGTACCAGCATCTGGACTGGGGGCTGACACAACTGGATATTTACTATTATTTTTCAAAGTCAAATAAAGGAGATGAGTGGGAGAAGGGCTCATTCTTTCTGCACTTTGCCTCAGCTCCCTCCAGAGTAGCTCCTTCAGCCCCTGCTACACACACCCCGGCCACCACGCAGACACACCAGAGATCGGGAGCGCAGGCTGGTGAGGCAGACTTGAGGGACCCAGCAGCCTGTCTGGACTCATCTGTCTCCATGGATGGACAACCTCCAGAGGCTGCTGCATGTCCCGGTGTGTGATCCTGGCTACCCCGGCAGCAACTTATCAGCATACAGTAACAAGAATTGGGAATTTTCATAAATTGAATCATTTCAAATTTAGTAATAGAGATGGATATGTAAAGGAACGATCACACCAATTTGCTGGGACCTCCCTGGTGGTCCAGTGGCTAAGACTCAGTGATCCCAATGCAGGGGCCCTGGGATAGATCCCTGGTCAGGGAACCGGATCCCGCATGCCACAGTGAAAAGATCCCATATGCCGCAACCAAGACCTGGTGCAGCCAAATAAATAAATGAATTTTTAAAAAAAGACCAATTCACTTAGGAAGTAAATCTATTCATTTAGAGATCTTTGATTTTAGGGGCAGGGCCTCACCTCTCTGTGCACTGAAGAAAGTGCCTTCAATATAATAATCTTAAATGCTTAAGATCTCTATTTTCACATTTTGCACCTGCTCTTCAAATATTTGGATAAGGCATGGGAATCAAAGCAACTGCTTTGCCAGCTATAAGCTCGGTCTTGATACGGTATCAGCTGTTTGTTAGGACAGGCTCAGGCTCACATACTTTATCCGTGTCTATTCCAGACATGAACTCCTGCTCCACTGTCAGTTTATCGAAGAAGTCCTCAGAAGCTAAAACGGAAACGGCAAATTCGTAAGTGAGAAATTCAATCAATGTTAATACTTTCACACACAGAGCATGATGACAGCTGGGCAAGGTGTGGGAACCTGGCCCTGAGGGAGCTGCCACCTGAGATCTGCCTCCTCTTAGCCAGGACTGGGACCTTGGAGAGTGAAAGTTGTGCCTTGGGACCTTGCTCTTTCTTGTCAGGACAGAGAATAACATTCATCTGGTAGAGATTTACAGGAACATCGCTACCTGACCATGACCTGACCTGAAGAACAAAGGATCTGACACCAAGAACTAACCAACAACTAACAACCCCCACCCTCACCTTTTGCTTTTGAAGGGGCTTGCTGAAAGCTTTCAGTAACCTTGGGGTTTTTAGGGTATGAGCCACCCTCTCCTTGTATGAACTTAAAATAAACCTTTCTCTGTTTCAAACTCTATAATGTTTTAGTATTGATTGGCCTCACTGTGCCTGGGGCATGTGCACTTGCGATTTGGTAACAGTAGGATGAGGAGGGAAGGCGGGGGATGGATGAGTGAGTGGCTCCCAAAGCTACCCAGCGGGCAGGTGTCTCCCCAGGCGTCCCCACTCGGTCTCACTCATCACCGGAGGGACGTCCTCACCTCCAGCTTATCTGTCAGTTCCTTGTGCATCTGCTTATCCTGCCGATTCTTGTCTTGGTTCCTCTCCAGCAATGTCTTGCCCCCTCGGGTCGCTAACACCAGATCCTTCTGCCGAATTCTGGGCGGGCGCGGTGGCGGCAGTCCGACCCTCCCTGGGCTTGTCCTGGGGATGCTCCCCGGGTTCGGAAGGCTGTTCCCCGGCCGCCAGCAGCTCCAGTTCCTCCTCTAGCTCCAGTTCCAGCTCTGCGGGGCCCTCGGGAAAGGAGTTGAGGGCGGCGACAGCACGACGGATTGCGACCTCGGCCGCAGCGGGCAGCCAAGCGCAATAGGCGCTCTTCAGCTTGGCTGGTGTTGAAGCGCGGCCTCCAGGCCCAGGCAGGAGGCGGGCGGACTTGCCCACGCGGAGCCCTCAGCGGCGCGGCTGGCCGGCCCGCGCCAGGCGGCAGGGTGGAGGAGCCCCGCAGCGCCGGCTGGCCGCGCCCCTCCGCCGATCCCGCGCTCAGGGGGTCGGCGTTTGCTGGGTAGGAGGGGGTGACAAAGGATGAGGAAGGGGAGACTGAGAGGACAGGAAGCAGGAGGAAGGTTGCGAGGGGGAACCGCCGGGTTTTCAGTCGCCCTGTTGCTGCTAGGTGGAGCTGCCGCGGTCGCCCGGGCAACGCTTCGCGGGGCGCTCTGCTGTCGCTGCGACGCTCGATGGAGCCGAGCTCCTTGTCCCTTGGCTCGGCGGCAGCAGCAGCGACGGCGGTACCAGGTCGAGCGCAGCACAGCCCCGCGAGCTCCTCTCTGCCTGCCTCAGCTCCTCCAGTTCTCCCGGCCAACCGCACTCCCCCTCCCCGCCCCTTGCCGGCGCCTGACGCGCGCGGGTACTTATTCAGCGCGTCCGCGAGCGATTCGCCGGTTCATGGATCTCCTCAGCCTCGCCCAGGTGACGCTGGCGGCCTGAACCCCAGCGCGCGCCACCTGTAGAGACCACTGTTGCCTTCCTAACCGTCTCGCGCTTTCCTGGTGCGGCCCCGCCCCCGGCCTCACACCCACCTCTCGGTATGGCCCCGCCCCTAGCACGTTCACTTCGGGGTGTGGCCTCGCGAGCACCTCGGAGCACGGCCCCGCCCCCAGCCTCGTTCTCACCTCTGGGCGTCTCACTCCTGCTTCGGGCTTAGGAGTTTGTGTGTGTTCAGTGGGGCTCAGTCTTAGGTGGTCTCCAAGGGAACTGAGAACATTTCTCCAGCCACGATTTTGGGTCTGATTCCCCGTGAGAGTTAAGCAGTCAGGAGAGGGAGCGCTAGAGAGCAATAGAAGAGATGACTTCAGGATCCCAGCATCTTGATGATGACGCAGGAATGCAGATGCTTTGGAGACCAGCAACCCCGAAAGAAAGGGGTTCTATTTAGAAATAATGGGGAAAAAACCGCTCACAGGTGGGAAATACGAAGCAAATATTCTGCCCAATAATAATTTCTGTTTATTAGACACTTACTATGTGCTATGTCTTGTTTTAAGTGCTAAATACGCATTATCTTCACAAGAATCTTATAAAGTCAGTACTATCACTCTTCCCATTTTACAGAGAAGGAAACTGAGGGCTTGAGAGTTAGGATCGGATCCAGGCAGAGTGACTCCAGGGTTCGCATATATTGTTATTCTCTACTCTCCTCACATATAAATCTTGAGGAAGATAAATGGTAATTGTGAGCAAGATGGCCTGGGTTGATATTCAAGGTGATATCTGGAAAGCTTCCTGCAGTAACCAAACCAAGGACTGAAGAGTCTACTAGGTGATTCCAGTCAGTGCTGGCTTTGACCTCATTGGTGATGCGCTGTCTCCTATCTTCAGAAACAGTCTCATCTGAAGCTAGAATTGGTTCCTTTCCTCTTGGACAACGCATTTTTAAGTTAGATCATACTTTGTTTCTTTTTATCACAATGAGATGGAAATTTCAGCTGAAATGAGTCAAATGATTTCTCCTAACTTCTTCTCCTTGTTAAATTCAGAGCCTGACAATACTCAGGTATATGCATCACTTTCTACCCTCAGACTGAAGGAGAGAATCCCAGAGGTCCTGAGCCTCAGAGCTGTCTTTGTTCTCTTGTGGATTAAAAAGGAGACAGACAATAGAGGGTTTCCCACATCAATCTGAGAGTAAGCTTTGAGAGTTTACCATGGTACCATACCAACAAAGCTCTGTTCTAACACTTTTTATTATATTCCCTTGAGCAGAAATCATGGGCCCATGGTGAAACCAGCTACAAATCCCTTTTGTCTTTTTTGATCAGGAAAGGAGAAGTTACTCCTAAAAATAGATTAGGGACAAGAGCAAATAGAATTCTTAATCAAAAGAGGTTTCAGCTATTTATTTTTCCTTAATGCAGACTTGTAGCCTATCTTTCCCCAAAGGTCTTTGTCTTGCCTTCCTTAAACTCAGTGGTCCTACTCTATTAGACTTGCCTGATACTGTGATAATGAACTATTACAATGCTAATAATAACTCTAATTTCTGAAGATCCTTCCTCACAATGTTCCTTTGCCTAACCTGACTAGGAAGCGATCATTTTCTGCTGCAGGTTTGGCCCTAGGTGCTATTTTCCTGTGAATAGTCAAAGGAGACCAGCCCAAGTTTGGAGAATTATTTAGAATAAACGTTCGTACATTTGTGGTCCCAGAGCCTCTTTACACTCTTAAAAAATAAAGTTCTTAAAAACCTTTAGTTTATATAGGTTTAGATATCAACATTCACTGTATTAAAAATTAAATGTTTTTTAAAAATACTTATAATAAATCTATTATGTGTTAACATAATGTATTTAATGAAAAATAACTAAATATTCCCAAGCCAAAAAAAAAGTGAACAAGAGGAATGGCATTCTTTTTTATTTTGGCAAATCTCTTTAATGTTTAGCTTAACAGCAGAAAATGGACTTTTATATCTGCCTCTCCATTCAATGTAGTGATGTTTTGTTTTGGTTGAAATATGTGAAGAAAATCCCAAGGATTTGGTTGGGAAAATGAGGAATATTCTCATATTTTATGATTTTATGATTGTCAAGGGTATTTTTCTTTGATAATATACTGAAATTCAACAAGAGACAGCTTCTTACAGATTAGTTGCAATGTGGAATCTAAAACCTGAAGGAAATCCACTCATCTTTCTTCCACAAATGGACTTTTTACCCATATGTGACTGATTCTTTGTGTGTGTGTATGTGTGTGTGTGTGATTGATTCTTTAATAGTATGTATCAGTATTTGGAAAATAATGGTTCACTGAATGATGCAGATCTTCCAAATACTGTTATATGTCTTTATGTATTTCAAAATTCCATTCATTAATATCACCACTGATATCATCAGAAAAGTCTTTAAGTATTGACAAGCTATCAAGCTCACTGGGGTTGATATGAGTTTTCCAAAATTCTTTTTTTCACTGGAAAGCTGCAATTTTATCATTGGTAACCATAGTTTCTATTGTTTTCCTTGAAGTGATAGTCTTGCTACGTTCATTTTTGAGAAAATATCTGCCAAATACTCAAATCTGAATACCACAGTCTATCTGTCATTCATTTAAGGAAAAATGATGTCCCCCCCAAAACATGATTAGTTTAACCTAAGAAAAACAGTGGTACAAAGGTTTTATTTCAAAACAACAACGTACTTAGTTATACAAAAGAAGTGCTTTATGGGTACTTCAGTTTCATCACATGAAGAATTAAAAAGATATTTACTCAAGGAATGGGATTTAATAAAAGTAATATTTCATCAGGCACATTCTTGAATGAAACTAGCTTCTTTCTTCTTGTGAACAAACAGTAGTGAAGAATAACATGTCTATGAGTACACTTGGGTACCACTGCCATGAATCGTGCTAAGATATCAGTAATGTTATCCACACTATTCTCTTCACACCACCAAGACCAACATAGTAAAAAATAAAAATAGTATTATACAATTATACAATATTATATATTATTATGCTTACTAACATGAAATTATGAAATAAAATATGAGATTATGAAATTAGCTTTACTGTTGTTAATACTGTTAGAATTACTATCAATGCAATTATTATGAAAATAGCGCTTACTTTGCTGACCCTCTGAAAAGGTCTTTAGAACCTCAGGAGTTGATGAGCCATGCTGAGAATCGCTGATTTAGAACCATTCAAGACAAGTCAACCTTAAGCTAAGAAGAATGAAAAAGTACCTTCCCACATGGCGCTTAGCTGTTGTTGTTCAGTCGCTAAGCTGTGTCCAGCTCTTTGAGACCTCATAGACTACAGCATGCCAGGCTTCCTTGTCCTTCACTGTCTCCTGGAGTATGCTCAAATTCTTGTCCATTGAGTCAGTGATGCTAACTATCTTATCCTCTTTTTGCCCCTTCTCCTCCTGCCCTCAATCTTTCCCAGCATCAGGGTCTTTTCCAATGAGCTGGCCCTTTGCATTAGGTGGCCAAAGTATTGGAGCTTCAGTTTCAGCATCAGTCCTTCCTAAAGGGTTGATTTCCTTTAGGATTGACTGGTTTGATCTTCTTGCTGTCCAAAGGACTCTTAAGAATCTTCTCCAGCACCACAATTTAAAAGCATCAATTGTTCATCATTCAGTCTTTTTAATGGTCCAGCTCTCATATCCATACATGACTACTGGAAAAACCATAGCATTGACTATACAGACCTTTGTTGGCAAAGTGATGTCTCTGTTTTTTAATATGCTATCTAGGCTTGTTGGGCTTCCAAGGTGGCACTCATGGTAAAGAACCCGCCAGCCAATGCAGGAGACATAAGAGAGGTGGAGTTTGATCCCTGGGTTGGGAAGATCCCCTGGAGAAGGGCCTGGCAACCAGCTCTCGTATTCTTGCCTGGAGAGTCCCATGGACAGAGGAGCCTGGCTGGCTACAGTCTGTAGGGTCATAAACAATCAGACACTGAAGCAACCTAGCGCATGCATATATACACTAGGTTTGTTATGGAAGTTAGTGCCAGGATTCAAAACACAAAGCAAAGATATGAAAACCCACAGACTTCTAAGAAATATATTATTTAGTTTATTCTGCTTCATGCTAGAATAATAGTGGCTAAAATATGTATCATTTCCTTCCTTAAATCCTATATATAACATCTCATTTAATCCCCACAGTAAACTTATGATGCTTGTATATAACAATAGTATGTACTATGACATAATACTATGATGCTACCTAACTCTAAATTGCTTGCTTTTAATTACTAAGCATCATATTTTTATCATTTTTATTCCTTTAAAATACATTTGCATCAATATTGATTTGGGTACCTTGATATTTTGGAGACTTTAGGTATGACCCATCTTA